ACCAGCGTTAATTACAACGTTTATGAGAGGGCTGTCTTAATCGTTATAGTGAACAGTCTTTGCTAGCATCCACCCCTCCTCCCCTCCCCTCACCAAAACAACAAAAAAATTAAACTGTAAAGGTGTCACTTAACGTGATTTTAAGTCAGCAGTGAAGGATCCGAATTAAAAGGCATGATATGACAGCTTCGTTATAGAAGATTTTATCTGTTAATATTGTTGGTACGGTACAATCAATAACTTACGTCTCACCATTTTGTAACGTTTTCTAATGGAGCGCACGGTCACGTGGAGCAGCTGCTCATGCCTCTTAAGTGAACGACTCGTGAAGACTAAGAGAGTAACTTGATCTTTCAGGAGTTACCTCAGGAATGATGTTTCAGATGTTTCCTGAAGTAATACTATCAGCTACCTAACACACTGATGTTCATTTCCAACAACCACGGACTTTGTTGATACAAGTTGAAGGTAGAGATCTCACGTATCTCGAAACCATCAGAAGTTTAATCCACTATTTTCACTATTAAATCGCATTAGTATAGCCTTTTATAGATAAGCAGGTGCTAGTAAAGTTCTAGTTACTAATAAGCCAAGAAATTCAAATCAAAAACCTTTAAGTATAGGCCTAATGCTATCAATTAGCTGCTACTTTAATAATACCTGCAATATATCTCTCTAGCTTGACACATTGGATCTTCATTAGCGTTATTAAAGATGCATAAAATGATACATTATGTGGAATGTCAGCATGACTCAGTACTAACATATTTTAGTACTTACCATAAACAGTGAATAAACAGTTAAATATTTTAACACCTAGAAAATATACTTTGTTTAGTTGAAGAAATTTTTTGTAACTTACTTTCTATGTTGAAACGTTACTTGTATATTTTATGCTGCATTTATATTAAAACGTAATGTATTTTGCATTATGTTTTATGTTAAAACATTGTATGTTTTTGTGGTACTCTCAGGTAAGAGCTGAGTTATCTTCAGTGTTTAGCGTTTCGGACTATGAATCTTCATGCTCATCACGTTTGCATCCCGTTATTACCACAAATAAAACGTGCTCAGAATTTTGGAGTCGTGGGTGCATTATAAGGGTGATAATCAAATCCCTTTATTTGGTCAAACAATAGTAGCCCAAGATTTGGCGGTGGGTGGTATTCACTATTTGCCTTCCCTCTAGTTTATCAATTCAAAATTAGAGACGGCTACAGCTTGAATATCCGAAACAAACAATGTTTATGTTGAAACTTTTGTTGATACTTTTTTGATAAAACATCATAGCTACAGTTCCTCTCTGTGTTATTTTTATGTTAACCTGATTCGTGTTTTATGTTAAAACGTAAAATGTTCTTCTGTTATTACTTTTATAACCACTGAGGATGTTTTCGTTATTTTATGCTAAAATGTTCATTATTTTGTATCACTGACATATTAATTAAAAGGTTGTGCATTTTTGTGGCACATTTTTGTATGAAAACGTTTGAGCATTCTCATACTTCTTGCATTTTAATATTTCGCGTTTCTTATGCCACATGTTTATGCCAAAACGTTAAATTACTCATTCGATGTAACTTTTTAGTGCTGATATGTTAAGGGCTCGTTAGAAACTCTAATAAAATCCTAAATTTTCTTTATTGTAGGTTTAGAAGTAATGCAAAATATTTAATAACGGTTACTCTTTTTCAGATGTTTAACAGCTCGTTTCTTCACATGAACGACGCCTTTTACACATAATGAACTAAACAGCCAAGTCAGAGGCTCTTGTGATTCGTCATAGTTGCCTGTTTTGAATTGTGGACCAGAGGGGAGGCAACCAGTCAGCATCACCTGCCGCCTGAGTGTTTACTTTTAATTGAATTTTGAGGTTGACTGTCGCTCTTGCAATTTTCTTCAAATTAACCTAAACTACATTGTTATATTTTTGACGATCCAGCCCTCGTGATAATAATTTACTTCAAATCAAGCTTACCTACATCGTTATATTTTTGACGATCCAACCCTCGTGATAATAATTTACTTCAAATCAAGCTTACCTACACTGTTATATTTTTGACGATCCGGTCACCGTGATAATAATTTTATTCAAATGAACCTAAACTACATTATTTTAGTTTTGATAACCCGACCATGTGATAATTCTCTTCATATCAACATAAACTATGTTGTTTTAATTTTAACGATAAAATCAAATTTGGTGATAATTTCCTTTGACTCTGTAATACGAAGACAGGTAATTGCTGCTCCTATGTCAATTTTCTAGAGAAGATAAAGAACTATCTGGGTTATTTGGGAGTAAAAGTTGACTTATAGGACTAACAGACCAAATTCTAATGTAGAAAGAACTATTTGCTTAACTAGTAGTTTAGACAGTTACATACACTTTTGAAGTGGAAATATCAACTAAGAATCATCTTATATGAACACTCGATTTTCAGGATTTCTTTTCTCAACGATCACCTAGTCTCTCTTATTGAATAGTTTGTGGTAGTCACCGAAGCTGGTGCACATATGATATTTGTAGTTATTGTTTAATTTCAAAAGACTGCAAATGTCCTCTCTCTGTGTCCTTTTGATTATTTTTATTTTCACGATTCACTCGGCAAAGAAGGAAATTTAAGTCAACATTTGTTTCAAAGGATTTGGAAACTTCTCTTGATATATATACTTGTAGAAATCATGCTGTATTTATTTTACACAATACGAAATTTGACTTTTGAAAAGGGGCGTTTTTGAAACAAGGAAAAGTCTATTTCGAAACCAAAACCAAAAATACACTTAAATAGTTGTACGTTATTTGTCTGCTTTGTCAACACCGGAAATTATATATGCTGATAAAATTAGGAAATTATAAACTAATCAAACATGGTTCCTTTAAGATACTTAGTTCACAAATGTTGTTCTAACTCAATGGAATCCTCATCATATGTAGGTAGAAACAGAAAGCAAAGTTTTCTAATGAGGCTACACTATATAACATAAAGCCTTGAGTTGAATGATATCACATTAAATATGTTCTATGTGGTAAAGCGTCAAAATCAAAGATATTCTGAAGAATGGTGACATTTTTAGCAATACAATGTAAACAGTCAACATTACAAACATTAACAACCCTAACGGGTCTATATCTTTCATTACCCGTGGGTTCCACATATTGAGTAATTTTGTGCTTTGTCTGTTAGAACTGTCAGTGTAAAGAGTTGTCCAAAAAGTTGAAATACGTCGCTCATTTTCTATAAAAAAAATACGTCTGGGGTACCAACAGTAATTAGTGGGACAAATTGCGATATTCAAACTTAAGCTCATACAGAAACTAATGAGTAGACTGTACAATATTAAACTACTCATAGATAGAATAGTAAAAGTCAAACCTACCTAACTTGTATTCAAAACAGCTAACAGTGCACATAAGAATATGAAAATGACGTTCCCTCCAAAATTATTAAGAACCTCTAATCAACTAAGAGGTGGACCCACAAGTAACTCGGTACATACATATTTAGCAAAAATGTGTTTAAAAAACTAAAGCCTCATGAACCGTATCGGTGGTTTTAGGGTTAAGGTCTACTTGGAGCATAAGGGATTTCGATGACAACAGATTTCCCGTGAAATGCATTTAGTTGACGCTTTACGGTCAACGATGTTACAGCTTATTAACGAAACGCTTTTGATGTAAGCACTTCGTAAAGACTCAACGTCAGTAAACCTTGTTAACCACAACTTATAGAAAAATATTGCATTTAACGAAAGCGTTAGGCCACTTCAAGATCCTTATAGCAGGATAATTGAGGTAAAAAGATACCACTTTAAAGTATAATATAAACTCATTAGATACAATATTCAAACTAGTTTCGTGTAATTAGAAGAATATTGTCTTAGTGTAGGAGAGGACACCTTGTAAGGGAATGGTATCTGAAACGTTATAACAATTGTGCTAATTAATAATACAAACTCAGAAGTTGGTGAAGTATCAGAAAGATAAACGTTAGTGTACAGTTGTTAATAGAGTAACTTAATGTCATTATCGTTACGAATAGATTAGTTTAATAGTAGTGCCATTATTTAGTTCTAGCTTTACTGTTAGTATCACTATGTGGTCATAGCTTTGATATCAGTATTGTTATGATATAATAGCTTTGATGTTAATATCATTGTGTGGTCATAGCTTTGATATTAGTATCATTATGATATGATAGCTATCATATTAGTACCGTTATGAGGTGATAGCTATCATATTAATACCGTTATGATATGATAGCTATCATATTAGTACCGTTATGAGGTGATAGCTATCATATTAATACCGTTATGAGGTGATAGCTATCATATTAATACCGTTATGAGGTGATAGCTATCATAATAATACCGTTATGAGGTGATAGCTATCATATTATTATCGTTATGATGTGATAGATTTCATATTAGTGTCGTTATGATGTGATAGATTTCTATTAGTGTCGTTATGATGTGATAGATTTCATATTAGTGTCGTTATGATGTGATAGATTTCGTATTAGTATCGTTGTGAAGTAGGATCTTTGATATTATACTGTTCCAAGCATATGATTTAACGTACCATTGTAAATATATTAGCTAAAATGTCAGTAATTTTGTATAATTATATAGGTTTAGTGTTGGGAGCGTTGTAGTTTTGTAGTTTGTATGGCACAAGTGGTGGGGAGGCTAAATATATTTAGTGTCCGAAGCGTTGTAGATGTGTAGTTTGTATGTGACAAGTGTGAGCAGTGAATGTTTTTTTCCTTATTTTATAAGAGTTGTGAATAAATGACTGTAGATTCGTTCGATAATGTGGATGACATAAAAATACCAGGCTTGATTTCTGACGTAAATTTTGTTCGTAAAACAATCGCAAATGAGTATTTATGAAACTATATTAATAAACGATTAACATCTTACGAGTTTATTTAGGTAAGTCAACAAGATACACAAGGGTAAAACCAACACAAGATGTTCAAAAAAAAGAAAACACCCACCTGTTTTTCCCGCCTCGGTAACTGTTGCGTCAGCTCTCCTAAAATATTGAAACAACAATGTTCTTTAGTATAAGATTTTTTTCTCCATCCCCTTGTATTCATTAGAATTTATTATATAACGAATCACTGGTTCCGTTCAGTTCAAGACGTTTTGAAACATTACTGGAAACAGAGATGTTGATCTCTCCAAGCCTTGAGAGGAACTAAAAGGTTTTTCGGGAGAAACAGGGTTTTAACAGTCGTGTGCGCCAAGCGGGTAAGCTTCTTTACTGGGCGATTTGCTTAATGCGCTCGTGTCGTGTGTTGGCAGTTTCTGGCAGAGCGTCCTTAAAAACCATCCAATGACGTAATATCTTTCTCTCTCCAACTACGCAAATTTTGCATGCGAACAGGCAACACGCTGATATTATTACTCTGATGTATACTTAACAAAGACTAGAACACGTAGCTGGAAATCAGAGAAATATATTGTACCAAATATATTGTTGAGGCCTGTAACACATAGAATGAAAACAAAAAGACATAAACTGTTGAAGCTTTTTACAATCATTAAGGATGAAAACGTTTTATATTTATTAATTACGAAGTATTTCTTTTAAATGATGTGCTATATATCTTTCTCCAGTTACGACCCATTACTGACAAGGAAACTTCTTAAGTCAAATATTACATAAGAGCTCAAAAAACTGGCAAGGGTATTTTCTAACACTTCTTTGTCCGTTAGCAATCGTTTACACAATTATAGTTTAGTACTGAAAAACAGCACTTCATTGTGATATGAAGACAGAACTACAGTTTAGTTTGTTTGTATTTGAGCACAAAGCTATCTGTGCTCTGCCCACCACTGGTATCGAAACCCGGTTTCTAGCGTTGTACATACCTCTGTCCCACTGGGGGCTACAATTTAATAAGGGCACCTAGATATTTTTTTTATGACATGGACGCAGAAATGTAGTTTAGTAAGGATACATTAACACTTCTTTGCGACACCCGATATAGACCTGTGGTTTAGTAAGGACACAAAACTTCTTTCGAGATGGACAAAAAATAACAGTTTAGTTAGGACGTACAAATCTTCTTTGTGACATGGACACAGAACAGCAATTTAGTAAAAACACATAAACAATTATTTGTGACATGGACACAAAACTATAAATTAGTAAAGACACGTGTGACACGTAAGCACTTCTTTGTGAAATGAACACAGAACTGTAATTTATTAAGAACATATAAACATTTCTATGTGACATTAACATATAACCACAGTTTAGTAAGACAACATAAACACTTCTTTGTCACATAGACACAGAATTGTAGTTTAATAAGGACGCGAAAAAACTTCTTTGTAACACGAACACAGAACTGTAATTTCGTAAGACAACATAAGCGCTTCTCTGTAACATGAATACAGAGCAGTAATTCAGTAAGAATACATAAAAAAATTTTGTCACGTCGACTCCGAACTGTAAATTAATAAGGAGAGTAAACACTTCTTTGTGACACAAACGCAGAACTTTAGTTTAACAAGATCACATAAACACCTCTTTTTGACATAACATTGAAGTAGATTTTGTACTTCTTTGCGATATTTACATAAAACTATACATTAGTAAAAAAAATGAAACACATAAACACTTCTTTGTGCCATGAACACAAAACTGTAGTTTAATGAGACCACATAAACACTTCTTTCTCTAATGAAAAGAACTATAGTTTAGTATAACCACATGAACGTAGAACTGTAGCTTAATAAAACCACACATGCACTTCTTTGTGACATGAACACAGAAGTGCACTTTAATAAGGACACATAAATACTTTTTTCCGACATGGACACAGAAATGTAGTTTAGTAAGGGCACTTAAACACTTGTTTGTAACATGGACAGAGAACTTTACTTTAGTAAAATGCATAAACACTTCTTCGTGACATGGGCACATAGCTGTAGTTTAAGAAAGGCGTGTAAACATTTTTGTGGCATAAACACAAAATTTAAGTTCAATAAAAACACATAAACAATTCTTTGAGATATTGAGAGAGAACATTGGTTTAGTAAGGACGCGAAAACACTTCTTTGTGATATGAACACAGAAATGTAATTTAGTAAGACCACATAAGCATTTCTTTGTGATATGGACACAGAAATGTAGTTTAATAAGGACGTGTAAACACTTCTTTGTGCCAGTAACACAGAACTGTAGCTTATTAAGACTACAAAAACACTTCTTCGCAACATGGAAACAGAAATGTAGTTTATTAAGACCACAAAAACACTTCTTCGCAACATGGAAACGGAAATGTAGCTTATTAAGACCACAAAAACACTTCTTCGCAACATGGAAACAGAAATGTAGTTTATTAAAGACACTTAAACAATTTTTGTGACATGAATACAGAAATATAGTTTAGTAAAGACACGTAATCACTATTTTATGACTTGGACACCGAACTGTAATGAAGTAAGACCACATAAACAGTTCTGTGTGACAAGAACAAAGAACTTTAGTTTTGTCAGACCACATAAACGTTTCTTTGTGCACTTTGGTGACATGTCCACAGAAATCTAGTTTAATAAGGACACTTAAACACTTGCTTATGACATGGACAGAAACCAATAGTTTAGTAAGAATACATAAACACTTCTTCCTGACATGGACATAGAAATGTATTTTAGTAAGGACACATAATCAATTCTTTTATGAAATGAGCACTGAACTGTAATTTAGTAAAGATATATAATACACTTTTTGCGACATTGACATATATATCTGTAGTTTAACAAGGACGGGTAAACATTTTTCGTGACATAAACACAGAACGTAAGTTTAATAAGAACACATAAATATTTCTTTGCGACGTGAACATATACCTGTAGTTTATAAAGACCACATAAATAGTTACTTGTGTCATGGATACAGAATTGTTGTGTAGTTAGCATACATAAACACTTCTTTGTGGTATAGAAATAGAACTTTAATTTAATACGGACACATAGACAGAGAAATGCAGTGTAATTAGGACGCGCAAACACTTCTTTGTGACATTGACACAGAACAGTACTTTAATAAGTACACATAAACACTTCCTTGCGACAGGGACACAGAAATCTAGATTAGTAAAGACTTAAACATTTGTAACGTGGACAGAGAACTTCTGTATAGTAATTATGCATAATCACTTCTTCGTGACATAGACATAGAAATGTTGTTTAGTAAGCCTACACAAACACTTCTTTGTAGCATGGAAACGAAAATTCAGTTCAATAAGATCATATAAACATTTCTTTGTGAGATGAACACAGAACTGCACTTTAAAAAGGACATAAACACTTCTTCGTAACATAGACATAGAAATGCTGTTTAGTAAGCCTACATAAACACTTCTTTGTAGCATGGAAACGAAAATTCAGTTCAATAAGATCATATAAACATTTCTTTGTGACATGAACACAGAACTGCACTTTAAAAAGGACATAAACACTTCTTCGTAACATAGACATAGAAATGTTGTTTAGTAAGCCTACACAAACACTTCTTTGTGACATAGACATACATCTGTAGTTTTATAAGAATGTGTACCCTCTTATTTGTTACATGAACACAGAACTGTAGTTTAGTAAGATCACCTGCATACTTCTTTGTTATGTAGAAACAGAAATATAGTTTAAATTCGATTACGAGTAACCCACTTTGAGGCTAATAGTGGTTGAAGACGGCTTGAATGGGTAATGAATTAGCAATAATATAATGAAGGGTATAATAGTATAAAAAATTTTTATATGATTACATCGTATTCAAAGGAGGGGGAAAACCTGTCATAAAATCCTGAACAATAAACCTGGAGTTAGAGTAAACTGTATAAAAACTGTTTCAAATCGATGGGAGACATCAGCTTGGTTAGATTCTTTTGTCTACGTAAATATAGCGAGATAATGAGTGTCAGCAAACAAAATTAAACAATTTACTTGAAGCAATTTGCAAGTTATACTGTGAAACAAGCGTACTTAACTTTCCTACCCAGGAAATCACAAGACGGCTTACATCCTATATGATTGAAAAGTGTCATTGTTTACTGAGTAAGGAACTCGTTAGTCAAGTGCAAAAAGTTAAATTCAGACCAAAAAAATTACCCGAGTTCATGTTAGAGTGGTGTTTCAAGTGGTGAATTCTACCTATAAAGAATAGATACCTAGTCCGCTCAGGAATTGTCCTTTCCGCTATTTGGATGTTACAAACGACTTGGACATCCTTTTAAACATGCTTTGTTTGCCATAAGTTTAAGTTTTACTATAAAATGCTTTGTTTGCCATAAGTTTAAGTTTTACTATAAAATGCTCTCTTTGCCATAAATTTGTTTTACTATAAAATGCTCTCTTTGCCATAAATTTAAGTTTTACTATAAAATGCTTTGTTTGCCATAAGTTTAAGTTTTACTATAAAATGCTCTCTTTGCCATAAATTTAAGTTTTACTATAAAATGCTATGTTTGCCATAAGTTTAAGTTTTACTATAAAATGCTCTGTTTGCCATAAGTTTTACTACAAAATGCTCTGTTTGTCATAAGTTTAAGTTTTACTACAAAATATAATCCTAGCCTTTCGTATAAGAAACGAAGTCTATATAAGAGTCGTCAGACTAGATTTCACATTCACTATGATGGTGGATAGGTGACTACAAAACTTAGTGTGGTTTGTAATAGTTTGCCTTATAATTACGTTTTTATTTATTTTTTCCACTTATTTTGTTATATCACAATCGAATATGGAATAGTAGTGACAGTGTTAAAAACTGCATTTACTGCTCAGCAATATATATTCAGTACTTAGCCTGCTTAATTTCCGATAATTTAGAAAAGAATTTAGAAGTTAATTTTCGGCTAAAAAGTGGACTTATAAACATCGGATGAAATACAGAAAATGTAATATCCTCTTGATAAAAGCAAAGGGAGATATAAAAATATTTACTGTTTTATTAGAACAAACAAGGTATATGCATATTGCTAATGATACTGCCGGTAATTAGATTTAATAATCAGCTAATACACTTTAACCTTCAAGACAAAAAAACATACTAAGATGTTACTGAGAAAAACCTGTAATTAATGCTATTATGTAATTAATGTTATTAATGCTTGTCGAAGTGAATTCTAGCCCTAGTTGGTAAGAATACACGATGGCCCTATCTGACAATATTATATCTCGTTTTGGCAACAGTGTCTAATCTTACAGGATTCTGGACTCGCCTAATGGAAATATTTAATCAAAACGTATT